ATAATGGAGAATATTATCGTAATATATTATTATGAAGTTTTTCTCTCCCTCTATGTAATAGTTATTGTTTTTTCTTGTAGCACGCATACCATACCCGCTTTATCTTTTTCCAATACGTGGCAAGGTCAGGTAAAACAATCGAGGTCATTGATATATGGAGCGACATAATGATAAAATCAATAATTATTATAAATTTTCTAAATTAGAAAATGTAATACTCGTTTAATGTAATAGTTACAATTTCCGAGGTTGATGCTAGTAATATCAATCCAAAGCGAGTTCTAAACTTTGAAATTTCCTGCTGTTAATATTCCGCGGTGTGTAAACCACGCTTATAATTTATATGAAATGAGTACAGTACTCGTAGTTGCAGGTGAATAATATTCTGTACGGAGTATTAGACAATGTGGTAGGTGTTCGTATTTCTGAATCTGAATATATGTATCAAAGCACTTTAAAACGACGATGTCGTTTGTTTTTATTCATGCAATTTCCATAATTTTTTTGTTTGCTCGAATTAAAAAAATCTTATAGCAATCGAGGTCATGGAAAAAAAGATTACGTTGTCACGGCTTTTGAAACTTGGATAGGACTCTCCAAATGGAAAAGTTAGTTTAGGCAAAGTCACGTTTGCATGGATACATTACTTTTCACTTAGAAATTTTTTACTATGCTTTGTATGTGCCAAGTATTGACCCTTCCATTTCTCTATAGTAACTCTAAACCAGCATCTAAAAGAATTTATTATTGATATACGCATATTTGAATCTTTGCGATACGAGTCATACATGATGATTCCATTTTTCCTGGAGCTATTTAATTAAGGTTACTGTAAAATTTCGATAAAAATATGTATACTATTTTCTATAGTTCGATTACACGACAATAGTAAAAAATGCTACTAAATTAAATTTGGTTGTAATTCTTTGCTAATTTTTTGTCTCTCCGTTATTATGATCTTTTTTGTTATCTCTGTAAATAATGATAAATTCTATAGTAACTTTTCTTAGCATTTATATCGAAATAGATAAAGGAGAATAATACAATTAGTATAAAATTAAAATTATTAATATGTCTCATATATCATCACTTTTCTTTCTTGCAATTTTAAAACTTTGCAATTTTGATGTAATCAATTGTATTTTGATTTATATATTTCTGTGCATTGTTATTCAGTGTTATTATTGCGTAAGAAATGAACAAATTTAAAAGTAAAAACTACAATTTTGTTTGAAAAACTTTGTACAATTGTCTATTCATACGTTTGAAAATAGATTAATGATCTTGAGATATTCTTCTTCTTATAGAGTTGTTCTTGCTATAGTTTTTCTTTTTAATTTTTTTTAAGAAAGAACTTCTAGTATTAAATATAAGCAGAACAATGTTTAACGATTCTTATTCGCGTATCATCATAATTACTCTGAAAGAGATGCTCGCTTTCATTTTCCAATTCATTGAATAATCGAGTCGCAGATGCGCGTTTTTCAGGCATTCAATTTCACCGTGAATCCGCGTATTTCCTCTTTTTCCTCATTTTTTTCCATCGGCTCGATGTCCTTTGGCTCCTTTGAAAGTTCTTAACTCTTTGAACAGAATCATTGGTGAATTTAGGAACGAACGATCCCACCCGCTCGCGAATCTAATTGAATGATTTTTGAACTTGTTATAACTCGGATTTTCCAAACTTCCAAGTCAAATGACGATTTTAGAGACTGGAAAAGGAAGTAATTAAGGGCTGCGAAATACTTTCATGAAAAATGTTCTACACTTTCAAAGGGCTAAACTTCTCTGTAATAACTTTGTCCGTGCAAAAGGGCTTAATTAGCGTAGGAATTCAAATACAGTATTAAGTGTTCTCATTTAAATTTTACAATTATTTGATTAAATAATTATGTTTATAAATTAGAATTAAACAGATCGTGACAATGTCAATCTCCATATGTGCCTGTAATAATAATAATAATAATAATAATAATAATAATAATAATAATAATAATTATTATAATCTATGTTAACAATAGTAATAATAAGTTTAACAAAATATAACATTATTATAACAATAACATTAATTATAAGTAATAAACTGAAATTGATATCGCAAATTTATATAATTATAATCTGTTTCTGAATAAATTAATATTGGTGTGTGTATCCTCGAAATGTCTAAACGCGCAATTGTTCTATTTAATATTCTATATTTCGTATTGCGTGAATTCGTGTAACACATTTCTATCTATGTCACTCTACGATCATTGTGATAATCATCAGAAACGAGAGACAACTATTGAAGGGGATATTGATGTGTTTATAGTTTCGGATTTTATTAACAGATTCGGCAATAAGAGTAATCGCGTCGAATATGCCGTTATTCGATGGTGACGTGCCAATTCAGTACGCAATCATATGAATTTTCGATTCACTAGCTAGGATCACATCGGCGATCCTTTAAACTGAACTGATGGGCGGCAGAAATATGAAATCGACAATATTTGACCTGCATTAACAACGTACTAGTGGCATATCACTTTTGCGTTTTCGTGCAGTGCGTGTCCGGCTCAATTCATGCATAAGTACGACATGCATCCAGTCGGAATACAGCAAACGTGCCTAGATTTAGTCAGCGTGAAAACGAGGATGGCTGTTTAACGGGAGATTTGACCTGGAAATATTCATTGACTTGTCTCGATTCCCAAAATTTCTATACCACGTTTGCGTTTAAACATTTTTCTGTCAAATAATAAAGCTTTAATCTCGCTATTTGTAGAGACAAACGCGAGGTAATTCGTTTCGCGGCGTTTACACTTCAATGACGGCTAGACACGCGAAAATGAATGCACTTGTTTCGAGAACGATATATATACCTGACATTTATGACACTTCATATTCAGTATTTGCATCGAGTGCTACTATATGTCGCGATAAATTAATTATATTTGTTTAATGCTTCCGTTTTGTTGTAACGTTGCTATTTGGACGACCGCCAACATAAAAGATATATATCTAATGTCATTTCAATTGTCATAATTTTGTGTCGGATATGTTTTGAGATAAGTCTCTTGTCATAGATCTGACGAGCTTATAAAACCAGCTTTGTGATGATATCATAATTATTTTGAATGTAGACGCAATGTATTTTATTCATTTTAAGATATTTTTATGTTAAAAGAAAATAAGCACGATTTATGTATCAGCAACTATATTTATTTACAATAATTACGATTACCTCGTTAACTGAATTTCAGAATCTCTGACATAGTACAAGATTATATAGTCCTAACATTCACTTCCATTATGGTTGATACGTAATTTCGCGGATGACGTTCCTGTATACTTGATGGCTGTTCACACAGAATCAGTACTGTAAAATTAGTTGCACTGTTCTCTTGTCTCAAAGTAGAGGAACTATCCTTGTTTCATGTGCAGAAAGGTACTAAAGGGCCGCGCTTGTCGCGCTTGTCGCGGAACTCAAACTCGAAATTGTCTTCAACTCGACACTTCCGATGAACTTTGACACCGGCATTTTGGAACGCTGCAATAATAACTGCTCTTGTGAATTATCTTCTCATTATTGTCTTAAAGCAGATGGTAATTAAGTTAACCTGATTCGATCTTTTGTATGCCTTAATACTTGGTCGCTTCTTCTGTTCCTTGTTTCTTGGTCGAAAGTTTTCTAATTTGTGTTATATTTCTAATTTGTGTTATATTTTAGCACCTTATTTCTATTATTAATTCTGTACGTTCCGTACTTTATTGAATGACGGAAAAGATAATAAATTCTCAAAATCTAAATAATTATTATAATTTTATAAACGTTGACCGGATCTTATCTTCTCTCGTTTTAAATTACGTTGTAGAACCTACTGCTTTCACGTTAATCATTGAGATCGTACAGTGAATGAGGTCGAAGTTTTTTAACTGGGAAAGAGAATCATGAATTCCAGCGAAGTCCCTGTTCTTATTTGGCGCCTCTCACGAACAGGACACGCTTTCGCACTCAAATTTTGTGCACGTCGCGAACGCGAGCTGCAGCGACTGACTGCTTTAAGGACGAACTCGTGTACGTGTCTTTAGAAAATGAAATTGC